AACATATGTTCCATGGTTATGAAACAAATCAGAGAATTTGGAGAAGACATCAACATGGCATTAATTGATCTAGGGTGACTTTGAGCCTTTTAGGCTCCAAGAAGCTACTGGATATGGCTTACATATGGTTCCTGGGCAAGGCCAGATTGTAGCTGTTTTCTTTCTGTGTAGCAAGTATTTTTGGTACTATGTTTCATAAATGAGACCTTGAACTTTTGTCAAGATTATCTAATTTCTATTAGCTTACCAAGAGATAGATGTAGTTAAAAATAGTTCCTGCTTTTGCAGGAGTCCAAATGTAGATTATCCTCCATATTGGAGGATTCATGCTATGGTACTTAGGACATGTGTTCTCAATAAAAGTTAAATTTTCCATAATGTTTCTAGAATGTCTCTCAATATTTTTAAGAAGACAAGGAGGGGAAAATAACCCTGAAAAGAAGAAAAAAGGCAAACCAAGTCTCCTATTCAAGCAATTACTATTTTATATACAAACATATCTAAGATTTTTTTCTTGGCTTCTTATTAAGTGACAAATATACTTTGCAACTCTTTGGTTTCAATTTTCCAAGCTTGTCTTCTGCAGCTCTCTTAAGGTCATATCTATGAGTATAAACAAATACATTTGGTGTTAGCTGAATATAATGGAATTATCCATTTTTTATATTTAAAGATAGATTTCTAAAAGCTTTGAAATGAAAATTTTATAATCCAATGGGTAGAAATAAGATTGTAGATGTTAGATCTTGACAGTAGCAAAATTCTTTTGAGTATAGATTATGTTTATTGACATAAAATTATGTAAATAGCCCGTAATACATTGAGAATACTGATGCCACCTATGCACTCTTTTGGGTCAATACATAGATTGGGTACATATTCATTTATAATCTGTGATCACCAGAACCACCTTTTCATTGTCTTCTTTCTCTGTATTATAAATATTGTTTATAAATTAGTAATATAAATTTGATGCTGTGAGCACACAGTTTCAAAGGTTCCTTGTGTCTATACATCACTTATAGTTTTGGAACCTTTCTATGAATAACTTGAATTTACTTTCTTAAAGTGTTATTTCTTGGGCTGAAGAAATGGCTCAGTGGTTAAGAGCACTGGCTACTCTTCTAGAGGTCCTGAATTCAATTCCCAGCACCCACATGGAGCTCACAACCATCTGTTATGGGATCTGATTTCCTCTTCTGGTGTGCATGAAGACAGGTCACTCATATCCATAAAATAAATAAATATTAAAAAGTATTATTTCTTATATTAATACATACAGTCTGAGAAAACAGGTGGTCTTTAATTCTTTCACAGTGTAAGGCTCAATAGTGTTAATTCTGAACATAATGGATGCACAGCAAAGTGATCTGTTGTGTGATATTTTGTGTTCTGACAAAGTTTGCCTGGTGATCAGAGGGCAGAGCTAGTCACTAGTTAACCATAGAGGCCAGGCAGTAGTGGCTTACACCTTTAATAATCCCAACACTTGGGAGGCTCACACCTTTAATCCCAGCACTTGGAAGGCTCACACCTTTGATTCCAGCACTTGGGAGGGTCATGTCTTTGATCCTAGCACAACTGGGAGGTGGAGACAGGAATATAAGGTGGCTGGAGACAGGATCTCAGCTCTTTTTGTCTGAAGATTGAAAGAGATGAGAACTCTCTGGTGACTGCTGCCCTGCTTCTCTGATCTTTCAGCTTTTACCCCCATATCTGACTAATGGCTTTTATTAATAAGATTAATTAGGATTATTCAGTGATCTCTCCACATCAACTTTCAGCCCCAGGGATATTTCTACCCATATGTTGGGAACTCAGTTGCAAGGCTTCTCTCAATCTTATTTATTTAATCAACACCCCTATTTCTCTCTCCTACTATTTTATTTCCTTTCCCCTTCTTTTCTTGTTACTTCATTCTCCCAACTTCTAGTTTCCTATTTCTCTAATATCTATACCAGTAAAAAGCATAAATTCATGTTCATGGAAAGTGGTTTCCCAGTGGATGTAATGCTTACCAGTAAATGCTCCTGTTCTCAGATTTTATAGCTATGATTGATTGTGAGGGATTGTACATCCCCCACCTTTGTGTGTGTGTGTGTGTGTGTGTGTGTGTGTGTGTGTGTGTGTGTGTGAGAGAGAGAGAGAGAGAGAGAGAGAGAGAGAGAGAGAAGAGAGAAAGTGAGAGAGAAAAAGCAAGAGAGAGAGAAAGCGAGAGACAAGAGAGAGAGAGAGAGAGAGAGAGTCTATACTTTAAAAAAATGTGATCTTGTTGCTTCCACAAACAGCATTTTTATTTTTGACTGGCTAAGAAATGCATATTTGTCCCTTAGGAGAGAAATTAAATGCCATTTCCTGTATGGACACTGTACCAGCTCTATTAGGTAAAACTGGTAATCTCTCCAAGGCCATATGTATAGCTCTTTTGCTTAGTTTGTTACAGTGAGAACAGTTTTCTCCTGTATTTTCTGTGTGTTCGCAATAATGGTTCTGGTATGATCAGACATGATAGGAATAAATGTATGTGGAGTAAATGAGGTCTATCTATTTGAAGGAGCACATTCAATGATTATTCAATATTCACTATTCAACTAGACTAGATCAATAGCTGGGGATCAAAACTAATTTAAATATAATCTTAAACTTTTAGTCAATAAGTCACCAAGTCTATGAAACCAGAAGCTATGGATCTCATCCTTGCTCTTGTACCATCTATTCCAGGTTCCTGGAACCCAGAAGACATTTGCTGTACCTTTATTGCATTTACAAGTGAAGAATAAAGGGATAATAATGGGATTATATTGCTATCAATCCATGGATCCTACTTAATGATCAAAGGAATTTATTTGGGGGTTAATATTATTATTATTATTCTGTCTCACAAGACAGAATAAAGGAATTTGTCACATGATCCTGGAAGGGTGAGCATGGTCCAATGTGGTTCTCTGGTGAGCTCTGCCCTGGTCCATGCCAGTATTCAAAACTACCAGGTAGTGAAGAGAGGGAGCTTATGTACATTCCAGGTCTTAAGGGGTCCTCAGCATTCATGCCCTAGTGGCATGTACCTCAAGGTCATAGGCAAATGTATCAGCTACCTGCTACCTCACTAGGAACAGTGGTTCAGGGCATGGCTCAAATAGCCACCCACTGTGGGATAACAATAAAGGAAGGGAGCAAGGCAATTCTACACCTTGTCTTTATTTTTTTAAAGATGGCTATGAGCACATTCAATCCCCTTATCTTCTCAGTCCAAGCTGCATCTTCATTCTTTACTGCTTCTGTATAAGTAGCTGGATGTGGAAGACATTGAAGTATGTAGAGAATGGAGCCATTGCCAAGTCAGTGTCAATCAGAAGTTTTCTGTCTGAAATAAGCCCCTCAATGCATAAAACAGAAATAGTTTGAAACAAAAAATGAGCCATTGGATGGAACTGATTTGCCCATTAAATTATTCCAGAAGAACAATCCTGGAAAGCCATCACTTTATTTTTTTGTACTTTTCCACAAGTTGTATGTTTTGGGGGGAAGAGGAAATGGGATATATAGCTGAGAGAAAAGACATTTTTCCACTGTGGGTGTGTATCTTTTTTAATTCTGTTAACACTACCTTGGATAAGTTCCAAGCCTCTTTGTGACTGTGAATTTTGTAGGATACGTCTAGTTATAAACGGTGCATGTGTGAAAAGACCACGACATGAACAAAACAGCACACGCTGTACTCACAGCCAGTTGCACAAAATGCTCATATAGGCATCTGTTGCTTATTAATTTTTTCACTGCTATTTGCATCATCCTTTTGAAGAGGCTCCAGAAGCCTGTTGCTTTTGCCCAATTGTTTATAATGATCTATAAATCAGGAACTTGAACTAACTCAAATAACTAGGTTGTGTTTGCAAAATATATGGATATTATGGTTCTGGTATTTCCCCTAGCTTTCAAGATACATAGATCAATTTCTAACTGAATCTTGTATATGTTCTATTTATTCCCCTTTAAAAAGAAAAACACTGATTACTTTTCAGTCAATAGATTCAAATTCTATTTTTAATGTATTGTTCCATTTAAGTCTCTGCTATAGATGCTGACAGTTTTTCTAAGGGACATATAACCAGACAAAATATTAAAAACAATAAAAAATACCACAAAACAAAGGAAAACAAAAACACTAACTGATCAATAACATCCTTAGAAGTCCTGTAAAAGTGTCAACATCTTCTAGCATATGACTTTACTATTTAACTGTGATGCTTTAACAACCAGAGTAAGTGATAAAAACTATATTTAGATTTTGTGTCTCCATGAACTGTAGTTAAAATATGGGAATTTCTTTTAGAACCCTGGTAAAATGAATATAAAATGAAGAATGAAGTCAAAATTTCATGTGTTTGATTTATTGTCCTTCTGCGTCAAGGCCATGCTTTTAATTCTCCGAGTAACATAAAATACACTCAGAATCTGCAGTTAGGTCAACGATGACTCCATATTTGTATCATAAACATTGTATCCAGCCCTTTTTCTTCATTTCCCAGTTACGGTTTTATAGTCAGATGTGGTAGATGGGAAATCATAACTAACAGTGGGAATGAATCAGTTACATAAGACATTTATGAGATGCATTGAAAAGTAACAGCCGGGGGGAATTTCTACATGTTACAGGAATTAGAGATGCATGAAGGAGCTGCTCCAGTCAAACACTTATGGAGCTGGATACTATGAGTTTTCAAGTTCAATGATACCCTATCTCTATGTCAATGTAAGATTATATGAATTCTATTTATTGACCTTGATTTTAATGTAGAAACATATCAAAAAAGTGTTTTAGCTGTACTCAATACTTTCTAAGTGAAAAGTTTTGTTTTTTTGGGGGGGGATAATATTATACACAATGCTTAGTACATTCATCCTCCTATATGCTTTCTCATATCCCTGACTCTCCCACCAACCCTCTTTGTTCCAAATAGTCTCCCCTTCTCCTCTCATGTTCCTTCTTTCTTCCCAAGGATCAGGGGCCATTGCAGAAGCAGGGCTGAAAGACTGGAAGAGTCAGAGGTAGGGGAGGGCCAGACTAAAAGTGTCTCTTGGGCCTGACGGGTCTGCTGCCTTTGTGTACTCATAGTAGCTGTGGTTAGCTACACAAGACTTGCATAAAGTCAAGCCAGTCAGCATTCCACAATAAAAGGAGGAAGTTCTCATCTCCCGACCCCCTGAACCCAGCAGAGGAATTATTGATAGTCATTGGCTTCGGGGGAAGGGACTCATGATAGCTAGTGGGGACTGCAGTAGGAGGTGGGAATCCTGGGGAGGATTAGTACAATGTCTAATTAAAGGACTAATTATTTCTCCCACTTTTTTTTTTTTTTTTTTTTTTTTTTAGCACAGCTTAAACTAGATCTACCTTCCCAAGGTGTGGTCGCTCGGCCACATGATTGACTGGCCCAACTGCATTAACTCTAATGGGAGGAGACAATGACATGTCTCCACCATGAGGTAGGTTCCATTCTTTTCTCCAAGAAGCAATAGCATTGCCTTAGTGAGCCTTGAATGCTACTGTAACACGGGGAAGGGATGAATTTGGGAGGAGCTAGGAGAAGTGGTAGGGGTTGAATATGATCAAAACATACTGTATGCATATATGAAAGTCCCAATGAATTAAAATATTATATTAATTTAAAAAGGGAACAGTTTTTAAAATGTGGGTTTCTATGTCTTACCAAAAAGTACAATTTGAAAATAATAATTACAAGATGGAAAGAGCCAGAGTTGGCCTTCGGAATCCTGAAAGTAAGACATTGTTCTCCCCACAGAAAACATTTATGTAAGTATATTATGTGTGGAACATTTTCTTATGTAATAAGAGGTTACCAAGTGGGAGACATGGTAGATTCTGTCCCAGACATCTACTTAGCTTCAAACTATCTTGATTGGTGAACAGGACCAGCAGCCAGGTTGCTTGGTTTCTTCAGTATACAACAGCAAATGAAAACAAAGTCTTCCCAATGGTAAGTAAATGAGTACAGGCCATACAGGAAGATGCCAGTAGACATTTCAAGGACAAATTGTGCAGGGCCAGACATTCTAGGAGAAGACTAAAAATAGATCATACCATTCTCAGAAATTAAAATGGCATTAGATCTGAAGAAATGTATCCTGTTAAATGTGGTTTTCTTAGTGTCTCTCAAACTTGCTGCAACATATATGCAAACAAGAATATATAATTGATAATTTAAGAAGCAATTGACAGTTCTTGGAATGGACATTCTTTTTTTGTGACTGATTGTTTTAATTTTGCCTTATCATACCATTTGTAACACATACATTTGATGAGGCCATGTGATTTTGAAATATTACTATACTAAAATTAAGTTAGATATTTAAAATGCAGTGAAGCAGAATAGCACAGTTGAAAATCCTTCCTTTTCTGCATGATTTATCCTAGATGATGTCATTCTTCTCACCTAAACAATCTTTAGGGACTGACGATTTATTTATTTCTAATCTTCTGATGCCTGGGCCCATCTGCCTTTTCAAATTGCTTCCTTATCACATGGTCACAATTGGAGTAATATCTAACCCTCCTTGCTCTCTGGTAGGATCTAAGCACTTTTAGAAATAATTCCACTGGAGTCTCATTCCCATCAAAATCTCAATGGTCAGGAAGCAGCCTCAATATTATACATCACCGCTGATGCAGGGTTTGACGGCCCCAGCACTGAAACCCTCTAAAGGAAAGCTCTTGCATGGAAAGGCTGTGTGCTCATTTTCCTGAGGATGACTGACTCACGATGTTCCGTGGCTTGTCCTTGTCTTTTATTCCTTCACTGGTGACTCAGCTCTTCCAAGCTTTCTCCCGTCAGCTGAGTTGCTTTTAGCTGTGACCTGTGTTCCTGGCTTCATCCTTGGCATCCTACTCAAATTAATATATTTTTAATACTTTTTTTTTTCCATTTTCCCGCTTCTGACTTAGGACTGGTAGGTTTCAGTGCTGTGCCTGGTGCCCTTGGCCATGACACCAACTAATTAGAAATTGCTGACCAAAGGGAGATGGTAGCCATTTTCTTGGGCTCTTTGGCCTGTGTAGCACCTGCCCCATAGGGAATTGTCAAGAGTTTTTTCGTTGATTGTTGCTTCTCCTTTTGTTCATTAGATATTTTCCTGAAGTCTCACATAGCTGGCTGCTTTTAGATGACTTTTCCTTTTCACTCATGCTTCTGCTTCTCCTTTCCCACCTCTAAATTCCGAGTTTCACCTTTAATAATCTGAATCTGTTGCATTAAATTGTCTGAAACCTCCCTAATATTCGGTGACCTTACTTTGATCTTCAAAGAATCTTTCATGCCCTGAGATTATTAAGTGATTACCACCTCTCTCTCTCTGTGTATTGTTGAACAGATTAACCACAGCAAGCTAAATTCTCTAACATTTTGTAGTTCATTTACATAATCACTTAATATTTAACAGAAACATGCAGTTCTTATTGGCAAAAACTATTTTTATACCACCAAAATAATTTTCCCAAATGTTTATCCTGCCTCTGTCTTTCACAGGTTCACTATCTTGTGTCAGAGTGCCTAGCTGTACCCTTCCCCATTTTACTTAGTCTCAACATTCTGATGCTAGCTCACACCATGATATTGCTAGTTCTCAATCTTTTGTGTTGTCCTGGGCTATGCTACTTAGTTCTTTTAAGTGAGGTATTTATTATTATTATTTCAAAGCAATAGCTGTTCTTTAAAAAAACTATTAAAAAAACCCCTCAACTAACCTAAGGTAACCTTCTATTTCTCTACCTAGGAAGAACTCATTATTGATATTTTGATAGATAATTTTTTAAAAAGTCACCCTATTGTAATAAACTCACAAATGAAAGCATCACAAAGCAACTTTAAGGGAACCAACACATGCCCATTCCCAGAATCCAGACATCTCAGTGAACTATGCCGTTAGGATGGCCATTTTGAGTCAAAAGAATTTTGCTTGAGGTGTTACTTTTTGTCATGTCTCCATCACAAAAAGAAAAATAAACTACATCGGAGTTGAAACAAGAAGGAAATATCTTTATATTCGTTTTTCCTGACTTACGTGTCCTTATGTCTGCATTCTGTCATTCCTCCTAACCTAATTTTACCCTTTCTTGGTCTCCCGCTCTAGATATAATGCTGTACTCTCATTCTGTTTTCTTATGTGTAGTATATATTATAGACTATGATCTCTATGTGAGGAGAAAGAACACATGGTTCTTTGGGTCACCTCTCTTAATAAAGAGAGCCCATTCATTTCCCTGAAATTTTCATGATTTTATTTTTTATAGCTAAATAATATTCCCTTATGTGTATGTGCCACATTTTCACTGTCCATTGACTTATTGGTAGGAATGTCAGTTGCAAAAGTACGATCTGAGAAATAGGAAATTGTTTGTCTCAGGTTTTCTCTACTTGGAGTGGTCAGAAATCTTGGCTCAGTCAAATTTTTCTATTAATGCTTATAGCAGCATTCAGGAAATGATTGCTGAGCCTTGATCAATAAATGTTAGTGTGCTGAGAAGTGGACAAAGGAGGGAAGAGTTATATAGATGCAATTGTTTGCATAATAAAGAATACAATATTGACATAATTTCAGGTATAAGAAGAGTATGGGCAAAAGCTTTGGGCAGCCTTTATTTGTAAGACACACAGGATAAATACTTTCATCTTTAAAATATATCTTCACTAAAGTAATCTGTTTTAAAATTATTGTACAATAATTTTAAATATATTTAAAAGTATGACAATATATTTTACTCATTCACATTATATTCTGAATTTCTTCAACAAAAACATTCTGTAAATTTGCTTTTATCTTTTGTCATTTAAATCTCCATATATTTGTATTTTTTTTTATTTATTTTTTTTATTATTATTATTATTATTTTACAACACCATTCAGTTCAACATAATAGCCACAGAATCCCCTGTTCTCCCCCTCTCGCCCACCCCTCCCCCTAGCCCACACCCCATTCCCACCTCCTCCAGATCAAGGTCTCCCCCAAGGACCGGGGTTGACCTGGTAGACTCAGTCCAGGCAGGTCCAT